AATCCACGAATTACGGTTTGAACTGCTTGACCATCCACCTTACTCACCAGATCTAGCCCCAAGCGACTTCTTTTTGTTCCCTCATCTAAAAATTGCGCTCGGAGGACAGAGATTTTCGTCAAATGAAGAGGCAATCACCTTCGTGAACAATTATTTTGCAGAGAAAAACGCCGAGTACTATTTCGACGGGTTACAGAGATGGGAGCATCGCTGGGAGAAGTGTGTAGATTTACAAGGAGACTATGTTGAAAAATAAAAAACAATTTTCAGAAAAAATGACTTGTATCTTTGTTAGGTCGGAAACTTTTCAGACCACCCTCGTATACTATCCACTATGTTACCCTAACTCTACTCTACTCTACTCTACTCGATTTATCGGACAGCATTGAGTTGTCATGAATCATGAAAATACTAGATGCTTGTGACTATCATATTTTTCAGCCCTAGTGAAACTAATTCGTACTAACTCCAACTCGAATTATCGTAAACACCCAGAATGTAAGTTGTAACCTTATAACCTAAATCTAATAACAAGATAAAGAAAACGCTATGATTGATTTATCACCGAAGTTAATGACTGGATTAATTAAAGTATAACGGAAATCGAATTTTCGACGCCTTAATCTAGAATTTTTATAAAATATATGAATGTGAAAAGAGAAATTATTTGTAGACCACCACGACCTCAGTTTCGTCGAGGGAAGTAGCGACTCGTAGTGGAGGCTTCGGAACTAATTTTCAAAAATAACGAGGCCGATATTTATAGACTGTGTTATGCTGTACGGATCATTTCATTGGCTATAGAGTATCTGAAGATGAATTTCAGGCGGTCTTAAATGTAAGATCCGACTATGAATACCGGTTTAAGAATCTGGTCGTGCCTGAGACGTCCGTGTGTTTGAGAAAACTAATCTTAAATTTTTTTCGCGTAATGTATATAATAAATTGTGTAGTTAAAATGATCATGTTTCCTTTATTCGTGAGAATTTAGAGAAATGCTATTTGTGCAAATTTCATCTATTTCATAATAATCACAGTGTAATCTCGAAAGAACAAACTCGAATTTAGAGGTCAACTGTCGTAAAATTTGCTCACAGTCATTTTATAATTGCATAAGCGTGATCGTAAATATTTGTAAGTGAATACAACTAATTAGAATAAAATAATTAGTGAATAAAACACTCTGATTGGTTGACTCTTACATTCACGATCACGCTTACGCGATTGTAGAATGGCCTTTATCAGCAGGTTGTAAGCTGTAGCTTATTCGCGACTGTGCTTAAAAGTTGTAAAAACAGCAATTAAAAGAAGAAAGTAGTGAAAATCAGAAGAAATGGCCAAGTTCTCCACAACGTTGTACAATATCTTTCTTAAACGAACATCCACGTTCACGCTGACGGTTTTAACTGCGGCTTTCGTATTCGAGAGAACTTTTGACTTAGCCTCGGATAAGATTTTCGACACTGTTAACAAAGGAGTAAGTGTACATTTTCATTAAATAGTTCTTTGGTATCTAAGATTTTCTGTGAACATTATGTTCGACGCTTCTAATTAAAGTTAACTACTTAAGGTGAGGTTAGGTCGATGTGAATTATTCCCTTGTAAAGTTTTGCGTAATTGGAGAGAAAATATAGTATATTGTTTATTGTATACTATATTGTGTTCTTGTTTTACGTTTTCTTAGTATTAATTAATCATTATTTCGCACGAGAACATGTTCCAATTTACATTCCAACACACGAATCGGAATATGACACTGATTGCATAACAGTCATTTAATCCTTTTTTTTCAGAAACTGTGGAAGCACATCAAGGATAAATACGAGTAGTGAATGGGATACTAGGAAGAAATGAATGTTAGCTTTATATTTAAGTAACTTATATGTCGCTATTAGACATGTAAATAAACAAGAAGTTCAGCAAAACAGCTACTCAGAAGTTTCTCATTCTTCGCAATATATTTATTGGAATAAAGTAGGATTGAACTTTTATTATGATTTCTCATGTATATGTAAAAGGATAAACAGTCGTTCTATGATTATAATTAAGAACACAGTACAAATATTATTTGTGTTACAAAGCAGCATTATATACATAAATGAGTCTTTTGTATTGCAAGCATTTTCTCAAGTGTAAAATATGCCTTATCTGAGTATTGAGCTTATTTCTAAGTGCTGCTGGAGCTGTTTGTAGTAGGATCTATAAGGCGACCAGCAAATAGTGTTTCACCTGTTAGCACATCTACAATGGCAAAGATAAATGGCCTGTTTGCGATGAAGGTTTGCGTCATCCCCATGAGAGGTATAACTGTGAGTTCTGTGAACAGAAGCGACATTGATAACAATCCATGAGCTAGATTGAAGATCTTACACCTAACAATATTACCTGTTACCGCAACAGCAATTGTTCCTTCTTCATTGACTTCTATTTTAGCATTTTGTATTATGTTCCCTAGTCGCACATAATTATTAGGCTGGATGCCTGTGAAATTCGCTGCTGCACTGAAAATGTCTAGTATACCCATCTGAAACAAGAGTATGTCTGTGACGATCATCACTGTACTTTACAGAGTTGCACAGTAATAGCAGGTAATGATTGGAATTAGTAATGATAACGTTGTAATATTATTAACTAGCTGAAATTACTTGGCGTGTGGTTATCATAAAATGTCAAAGGAATGAAGTCGAGGAGAGGAGATAGGGTCAAAAGATAGGGTCTTAATACAACTACTCACGTTCATCAAAGGTGTACGTAAGTCCACTTTGCTCTCGATACTGAATCGTGGAATGGCGACTACTATCTCGGTTTCCGTGAGGGCTGCCAACAACGTTCTCATCGGCACATACGACAGATCCTTGGAGAGGATCTGGAGATTCGGGTCGGTGTTTTCATGAACCGGTAAGAATATTAACATAGACGTCCTGCCGTCCTGAAACGAGGAAGCAATGAATTTTCGGAAATGCGTATTCCGTGAAGTGGATAGTGAAGGTAGAGAATCTTACCGAGTACGGCAGCTCTACCACTTCGGCGTCGAGGGAACCTATATAGGCATATCGATATTTGGAGTTGTTCTCCATCATAGGGACGTTTTGACAGCCGCGCCGAGGCACTTGGAAGCATCGCATAAGCGTGGCGTCTTTGTCGAAGGATTTCAGCCAGCGTCCTTTGAAGTATAAGGCCGAGGTCAGCAGTAACTGGGTGTCAGGATCGAGAGTGCCTGAAACGATGATGTGTAACTTCAAGAGGATCTCTACAAGCGCGAGGAGCTGACGAGCTTCGAGATTCAATAAAAGTACTCTTGCTTCAATTGCACAACCCGATCATCCAAAATTCCCTGTTCAAAGGAAAGTATCTTTGGTTATTCTCGATAGAACTTAAGTCAAGTACCAGGCTGAACGATTGAATTGATGTTATTCCGTGTGGCTTCGCGAACCCAATTGTTGATTGTCTGCGTCGCGCCATTTACATCTGCGAAATTCAACTGCTGAATATTGGTATTGTAATGCCGCTGTAAGGCAATCGCGTAATTATCGGACGTTAAAAGAGTGGGATTGGCCCACAAGTGAGTCGCCACATCGATCTCCGTGCCATTTCGCGAGTTCTGAAATCAAAGTGTGAAAGGAAAAATCAGGCGGAAGAATTTCCGACAGAAGAGCAAGAGAGAGAGAGAGAGAGAGAGAGAAAGCGATCGAGACTCGCAGTCGCAGTAGTTTCGATAAAATTTATCACCTTATCGATTTCCTGCTGTCATCTTCGCGTGAATAAGAAATGAAGGTCATTTCCATGCATTCACGGCATTGAAGTCGCAGCGATTTTAAAAAGCTTTCGTCGATTAAAGCCTCAATCTACCTTTAGATTCGCGAGGGTCAGTCTGGCTATTCTTCTGATTGCGTGTTCTTCCGGCGGTAATCTCAAGGCTGACAGAAGCTCTTGGCGTGTATAACCACCGGTGCCTTCCACCAGACTCATGAGAGCAACTTTCGCGCTGGATGGGGACAGTATCACATTGCCATTGGCTTCCTCGTTCACTCTCTATAATTATATACGTGTAATTATAGAGTTTTTCAAAGATTCTTGGAATATTCCAAACATACGATATATGTTTGGATATAATTTGGCTATATATAGTTTGAAAAAAAAAATATATATATATATATATATATATATATATATATATATATATATATATATTTTAGAATATCTTTAGAACTTAGGAATTTTTAGAAAATATATTTTCATTAATTGATTTTATTGAATGTGAAGAAACGTCATTTTATCTGACGTAAACTTTAAGTTTTAACGAACGAATTTTCTAATCAAAGAAAATTCAGTTATTTTCCGCGGGCTCGATATGCATCCCACACAACACAACTAAAATCGGGACATAAAAAGTCTGAAAGGCATCTTAAAGACGTCTCTCAGAATGTAAGATATCCCTAATAGATGTCCTTAAGACTTATGTCCCGATTTTAGACGTTGTTGTATGGGATCCCTTTAGCTCATCCTTTTCTGGTCTTGCATCCTCCTAAGAACTTTCTCTCACCTGCAGGAGATCGATGTTGAAGAAGTTGTATCGCTCCTCGGCACTGATCGCGACTGGAACGACTGCGGGATAATGTCAGTGTTAATTTCGAGCGCAACGTGCAATTGCCTACAACGAGATACTCGTCTATGTTCCTACAATTACTACTCCGTGCGCATTACGTTTTCATCGCACGCGACATCGACTAGCAGCAGCGTGTAGAATAGCGCGAATCGCCATCACAATTCATTCGGTTCTGCTTGAGGATTCGCGTGTAAATCTCGCGGAAAGTGCCGACGGCTAATCACCTCTGAAAACAACTTGAGCGCGGGGTGTATCGACGAGCGCTTATCACATCGGTGGTATTTCAAATTACGGAATCATCATCCTACGGATATTACACACGGAGCGTGACTAAAGGTCAGTACATGATTCTGCTGGCTACCGAGAAGGATTTTCCTTGTCCGACAGATTGGCGAGACATTCCCTTTTACGACTGGAGACGACAAAAGCGAAGATATCAAGGAAACGATAACGCCGGGATATCGAGGACCAATCGCAAAGCCAAGCGGGTGATTTTAATGCCTGTCTAGCTGATGTCGGACAATTATGTAACTGCGTATGGGACGCGGCCCGGCTGAGGCCATCGGCGATTTTGATTTATAATCGGACTGAGAGAGATAGGCAATGAGAACGTAACATCTCAACGTTACCTTCGAGCACGATTACGTTGAACAGGTTTAAGCGACGTGGGGATACGAAAATTGAGGATTATCTTCATATCAGAACCGGTCGCTACTTAGCGGATAAATATTCTGACAAGTATTTGATGGGATAATGAGAACGAAAACCTGAACCCAGGCGACAGTCTCGACGGAAATGAAGAAGTATTTGAAAGATCCCTTCCGCGCGACGTCACTCCCTTTCCTTGTTTTAGTTTCAAAGCGATATACCTGCAAAGGTGCACCAGAGGATCCACGGCGAGGACAACCGCATTTTCGAGATATGAAAGTGGACGCACGGACCGCCGACACACAACTGGCGAACTTGTACGAATATGTATTTTGCGTGACTCGCACGACGCGCGGACGACGGATAACGGAAACTTGCGATGCTTGGAGATGCTAACAGCCACACTTCCGGCTAAGAATCGTCCCCACTTCACGGCGGCTAGATACTGATTTGTTACTTCATCGCGATGAAAATATATTGTGCTCCAACACGCGAACGAACTGACCGAGCGACCATACATAGCCGCGTCTCACACGCGGAACGGGAATTCGCGATAATGTCTTTCTCCTTGGATTAACGGAGGACACGCACCGATCTCTCGCGGTACAACGAAGAGCCGTTTTTTTTTATCGAAAAAGGAAATAGTCATTTACCGAGCGCTTCGAGTTATTAATGAGTTCCTTTTCGAAGAACTTCCTGAATTAGTGCAATAAGTTAGAGTGAAACATGTATATTTTGTCTCATTTCAACTTATAGCATTAATGTACGCTGGTTCTTCGAAAAAGAATAGGCTTAATATTATTGTTAATTTACCAATGTCAAACAAACGAAAGAAATGCATCCTGTGTCCTTCTGAGAACAAAAGGATCGCGCGACTTTTCCAAAAGTAAAGTAAAAGCACCATTTGTCGGATACGTACCTAATCCTGAATATTCTTATCGTTTTAGTATTTAAATGCGAATATATTTCGCATAGAAACGTGTAGGATTAAATACGTGTCTGAGAGTTGATATTTTTATCTTAAGCGAATATTTTTCCAATTCTGCTTTGTTTCTCTCATTCTTCTATTTCTTTTAAACAAATAAGTTAACATACTTTTTATATAATCTAATGTTCTTTTTTTTTAATAGAGCCTGCGAAAAGCACGAAGGCAAATTTCGATGAATTTGGTTATCGCAAATATGTGAATATGAAGATAGATTTAAGTGACCCGCATCATTTATACCGCGATAAGGCCTAGAGCAATATTTACAATGACGTCGAAACGTAAACACGGTTGTGAAACGGATAAGAGCGTGCAAGAGTAGATCTGCTACGGAATTTCCACACATAACGTCATCGGAATACCCAGCTAGAAACTCGTTTAAAACTATACTTGTGATCACGTCAAGACAGAAGTTTAATCGTTTGTCAAAACTGAAGGAAACGGCAAATTGTGTAGTAGGCGATCATACGTATATACGGAGTGAATAGCCGCATACGGTTAGCAGGAATGTCGATAATTGCGAGAGTCCATTGACAGGTAGTCGCATGCGATACCGCAGAACGATTTGCATTTCGGTGCTAATGGAACGGAGAAAACTCGCGAAGAGGAAGCATCGATCAACATTCCAATAAATTGGCTTAGTTATTAATTTTACTATGTATTCATTAATTATCAGTAATAATCCCTCGCTCGTGAAAGTTCCCAAGAGAAGGCAACGAACAAGCCGTTCTTATGAAATTTTACATGGTCGAGATTGAGAGGAACGGAATTTTGACAGAAACAAATAAGAAAGTCCAATTTTCTTTGTATATCTACATATTATTAGATTATTGGAAAGAAGAGTGGCGGGATTATCTAGATCTTTGTGTTTAACGCATACATATGTCGGTGATATCGCGATGCATTACGCCTAAATAAGTTCATTCATTCTTTGGTATAACGACACTCGATACAACTCACGTTCAAACATCTCGGACGTATCGAATGAATGACGTAAATCGGTAAGATCTTCGTGAACTTAACACCACACCGAGGAACATCACATTCTATTTCTATTGGCGATTGTAATGATACACGACTATAGACTGCGATCTTACGCAATCCACAGAGTATTTAGTAATACTATAATACACACATTATGTGTGTTCAACGATAATATCGCTATCGCTGTATCTAAATTATAAAATACATGCAGCATTTTCTTGATGAAAAAAAGATGAAATAAAGATAGTTATTCGCGCATTCAACGAATCTCCAAGCAAATAGGACTCACGATCAAATCGGAGAAGCGATTACATCTCAGATTTTCAAACACATTACAATATTCAGTTAGCCACTACGACATAAATATGAAGTAACGCATGCAATTCAAAGTAGATTCTACCTGTGCAGGATATTTTACCTCCAATGTCGCGCTCACATATTTTCGGAAGTATTAATGACAACAAAAAAAAAAAGAATTAATATTGTATAACAAATGAAACAATTTTCCATCTACAAAGCAATTGTACCAGATAATATACTCCCGTTAAACAGACAATTTCCTTTGCTATTCTTTATACATCTTAGAATGTGCGATCCTGCGCAAACTTGTGGTGAGGTGAGGTGAAACTTCCTACGCGTACTACCAAATAACTGTTAATATTAGAAGAGGAAATATAATAATATGTGTATTAATACTTTGTACTTAGCGCAATTAAATGATCAATACGAGAGGCCTTTTCTACTTGATAAAGAGGGAAGATTCTTAGAATCGCTTGGTGTGTAAGCGCTACCATTATCATAGAACGAAAATGTGTTATAAATGCGTTTCCACCATTCACCAGTTAACAGATAACTTTACGACTGTTTACCGGGTTTGGGAGTCACGTTCACGGGGTCCGGTGTGTATCGCGACGGGAATTCCTGTTCCGGTTTGGCTATTATCCCGGATGCATCCAGCGGATTCTTCACCTTGCCCATGTAAAGGATAGTACCTGTGGACTCGTCCTCGATGTAGAACACGAACGGATGATTGGCATGGAATGTGCCCTCTTCTATTTTGTTGCCAAGCTGCACCTCTGCGCCAACAACAAGAGAACGCGAGTGTAAGAATCGCTGGCGAAGAAATCATACGATCTTCAGTTTGTGATCTCACAAATTGTACAACAATAACTGGGACAGGCAAACTGTTGTCAGGACATTTTGATTAATCTTTCTATTACTTTTTCAAAAATTTCTCTTATTTTAAACGTGTAACTTATTGGAGAGCGTACCGGTAGCGGCATAAGCGATCGTGCCGTTTTCGTTCACTTCTATCCCAGTCTTATGCACTATGTCGGACACCTGCAAGTGTCTGGAAGTTCGTTTTGTCTTCGCTATGCCCGTTAACAATGCGGTATCGTCAAAGATGTCACGAATACCAAGCTGTTAGAAGAGAAAAGAAATGTATGCTAAAATAAGCGAGATATTATGATGGTAATCACATCTTTAAGACTTCTGGCCTCTCGTCACTTCAAGTTATAACGTCAGAAGCAAGGAAATTCAAAATTTTTATTCAAAACATTGTATGCTAATTTTACGATTGTTTATTAATTGTTAAAGCAAAAGGAAAGTACTCAGATTATTTGAGAAGTGTGTTTAATCGATTGCAAGTGTCACTTTTGATATTATCTTTTTCCTTTGCCGTATTTTGCGGGAATTTTGAGCCTGCATTTCCTCGCTCCTGACATCATTAATAATGAGTTCCAGGATCAGGAACCTTACCCAACAGCACGAATAAATTACCTCGCGTAAAGCATTTTCCAAGTGGGTCGTAAATTCAAACTTGAATTTTGGAATCCAAACGTTAAGCGGCAATTCCTGCATGGCCCATATGTCTCTCGCCAGTATGAACGGATTGATCTCGTTCAAAACGTGATCCAGCCCGGTTAATGTGTTCGGCAATATGATGTACATGGCGAATTTAGATCCCTGAGAAGAAATTCATCTTAGCAGTATGTAATAGCAGTAGTATACCGTTTATTTTTAAGATTACACGGGATTTTGTTTTCTACATACGTCGTATGGGATCCGGAGGATCTTCGAGTCAAGTCTCGAAGACTCGAAGTAGTAAAATCGACCCATGCTGTGCATGTACGGCACGTTCACGCTGTCGTTAGCGTTGATGTGAAATTTGGAGACGCGAGTCATCGCAGGCGCAAAGTACTTGCGGCGCCAAGCGCCTTTGAAGAACAACCCGTTCGCAATCAGCATCACCGAGTCCTCCAGGCTTTTCTCTGGAATATAAAATCAAAGTTAAACACAAACCTACTGCTACGAGATATCAAACGTAGAAATTCCAAGATCGGCGGATAAAACGCGATTCAGTCGAAATTGAGACAGATTCCACTTCCACGAGATAGACTCACCGTCGCTTATCATTTTCTGAATGTGTCCATCTGTGATGTTATAGATCCAAGAATTAACTTTCATTGCGATAGTATGCACATCGGATATATTGTCGTTGATCACGTCGGTGTCGTAAAAAGATTTTACCGTCGCCGCATAGCGTTGTCTGGTCAGTACGTTATTATCAATGTAGATGCGCGACCCAATATTCAAAGTATATGCTGGGGACGGAGTCTGTAAGCGAATGTCGCATGTAGCTTTATAATATAAACCGTGTATTTAAGATAAAAATTATATCGTACGATATGATATATCGGTATATTATGTACAATTTCTCAGTAAAAGTTAAAGTATAAAGAAAATTTTAGATTTGATATTTGAGTTTTTAAATTTATTATATTAATTCACATTACATATAATTTGATGTATTAATTATTGATTTACTTGTAGGGATTGTAGGATACTGCTGAATCTCTCCCGAGTGGCCACCAGGCTAACTGGAAGTTGCATGACACTGGCAAGTTCATGAGCGGTTTGATCCTGCGCTCCTTCATACAAAAGCACTAATGCCAATTTGATGGAAATCGGCGATATCAATACGTTGTCTGGATTTGCTTTGCCAAGGTTCTAAAAATATCAAAAACATATGTCAGAGCTGCGAGCTTGTCGTCATGCAAGATAAATCTGTTCAAAATACGATTTAAAAGATATTTAAATATAAGTAATATCCTAGATAGCACGTAGAGAATTCAAAAAGAATTCAATCGTATGTCAGCAATTCTGAATTCATTTTCAGATGTAAAAAGAATTCTTCAAAGTTTAGTTCAGAGAGAAAAGAATTCTTTTCTCAGGTAGCACAGATAATTGAAAAAGAATTCAGTCGTGTGTCATCGAGTTCATTTTTAGATACGAAAAGAATTCTGTTCACTGAACTGAACTCTGAAGAATTCTTTTTGCGTCTGAAAATGAATTCATTTGGTAACATACGATTGAATTCTTTTTGAATTCTCTGTGCTATCTGGGACGTCAACATGTTTTCTGTCATTGTTAATGTGCTAATGAAATATTTGTATCTCAGTCATTCATAAATTTGCGACAGACTACAAACGTGAATACCTTGAACAGCATCCAGTCAAATACGGTGAAACGCTCGCCCTGATAAGGCACGAAGTCCTCGTCGTCGTCGGATTGAGCCGCGACAGAACTTGGCGATGAAGAAACGTTTGCCTGTTGAGATGTTTGCGTTACAGCACAGATGCCTTCTCTCGTGAGAAGCGTTACGATCGAGAGACACAGTAGATACCCTGCAAAATTAAAAGTTTTCTCTGCTCAGATGTCCTTTTCATATCTTGAAAAAGATATCTCGAATTCGTAACGTTCAATTTTTGAGACGATACTATTCAGTATAAAATTGATTAATAAGTTAATTTATTGATTAATAAATAATGGTAAAATACTTTTATATATACGAATCGAATAATTAATTTTAAATGTCATCCCAGATAGCACAGAGAATTCAAAAAGAATTCAGTACGTCGCCAATTCTGAGTTCATTTTTAGATGCAAAAAGAATTCTTTTCACCAAACTGAACTCTAAAGAATTCTTTTTGCAACTGAAAATACAGTGAAAATTGGTGACATACGACTAAATTCTTTTTGAATTCTCTGTACTATCTGGGATGGTAATTTTATGGTTTTCTTTTTATACTAAATCGTTATATTATGCAGCGAATTAATATTTTATCTTTATTTTTAGTATTCCCCTCTTATTGACGTACACAGAAGTGAAGGTATAACGTGTTTCATGTTTCTGAGAATTTTCTACAATTACGCGTTTTAATAATAAATTCCCGGTTTTTAATCTGAATTCTGTGATTTGTTTAGTACGCGTTATCAACGACACTTCCGATTAGATAATGCAATTCGATAATAACGACTATACAGATGTTTATCTAAACGGAAACCTCGAGGAAACCGCATTTTTGTTGGCGGTCAGCTACCTCAATTGGTAAATAACCTTGGACTTTTTATATTCTATGAGAGAAAAAGAATCTCAAGGACTCTGACACTGGCCTTCGATGTTGCGCTTTTTTTACTTCTGCACTTTATTTACATATTCCATCGCGGCAAGTTTACTCGAGAGGATTCAATAGATACACAAAAAAGCAAATGAATAAAATAGCATGACGATTAATGGCATACATGAAATTATTATATCACGTAATAACTTTGTAAAGTAGAAGTCACGTGACGAATTGAACGTGACGAATTTAACATATTGCAATCTCTTAACTAATTATATGCACTTAATAATCATAATTATCTCTTTAACAGAATGTCACAATTTCTAATATAATAAAAGTAAAAGTTAATAATATGTTTTGTCTTTTAAACAGGAATATTTAAAAACCAAGACGATAAAGAATGTCCAGTTTCAGATACATGTCTCTAAACGTTGGTACTTTTATTTTGTTTATACAAAAAGCTGGATTTCCGTCAGTAATAAATTTATAAAAAAAAGCATTGCTCACCTAACTGAAGCCGCATGATTGCTAATTGTTCACTATACAAAGTCAGAAGTTGTTGGCGTCTTGCGGCGAGTTAATCTCCGGGCTAGATTTTCGATTTTTGCAGCTGACGTTCGCAGACAGGACGATCGAGCGCGCGTACTCCGATGTACCGTAAAGAGTAAAACCGGTCAGCCCAACGATCCGGCAGATTATACAGCCTATGCGCGAAGAAGAGAAGTGGTAACTCGCACGGGAGAGACGTGCGAGGGGTCCTCCCGACAAGAGGAGGAAGCATGGTGGTGAGCGTGACTCAGGAGCGAGCAATTTTACACGTGCTAAATCGTAAGATAATGTGCGCGATAATACTCGCAGATGTATAAAATCGGTTGGATCGTTGACGCGTGACAAATGATTTTATCCATCGTGATTTATGGAGGACGGAGGGGATCTCTTGGAAAATGTTGAATAGCGAATTTTAGAAAGAATCCGCGTTGCAGAGAAATATCGTCCTGGCAGCAGCGCCGAGTGCAATTTCGTCGGTTTCAGTATTGCAAATAAATAAAGTTGCGGATATTTAAAGAGTTCAAAAAGAGTTCTTAAGTCCTCTAGAACACTTTTGGAATTCTTTAAGAAGTCTTTTAGAGATTTACACTATATGGGATGTAACTATTGCATAACGCACGTGTTATATCGCATTTACATTGTTGAGTGAGGAATTATAACATTGACGTTATGTACTGATAGTTAATGTTGATTGGTTTGTAATTGCTTGAGGAATCGCTACCAACTTTGGTCCAGAATACTGAAAGAATAATCCAAAATTTGTTAAATTAATACAAAGATGAATTTCGTAAAAACAAAGTTAAAATGTTAAGAATTTTAAAATTTATAGGTTTATCGAATTAATCACTGTTATGACACTTGATGATCAATTGAGTACACACGTCTGATGACGAGAGCGTTTCAGTATCGCTCCTCAATATCCTTCGTAATCCTTTGGAAATCCTTCAGTGGTAAGACGTAAGACCTGGGATGTACAACGTTGACTTATAACATCCGTGTTGCCGCGAACTCCGCATAATTCCCCGAGTTTCGTACAACTAAACAAGATCGTTCGATAGCACGTCTATTCGGGCGTGACTATGCATGTAAACGCCTGGAAAATATTCGCAGTTTTCAAATTCCGGCGAGAATATGATATCACACCTCGCGAACGTCATCGAGTATGGGAACGGGATGCAATCCGGGGACATTAAACTTTGAATGGATACGTCTTTGGATGATAACGTCATAGTCGGGACTGTAAACTATTGACGATTGGTTTACATTGTCAACGACCCATTTACTACTTATTTTGATGTCAAAATACTTTATGCTGACACATCGGAAAGTCAGGCTCGATACGTAAAACTTATCTATACGTCCCACAAAGTAACGAAAGACAAACGGGAAGTAAAAGAAACAAACAGAAAAAATACAAAATAAAAAAAATGTTATATTTATTACAAAATGAATCGCAGGAGATAACGATAGGTTTCAGCGTGATTGCGTTTAATGAAAAAACTCGCTAAAAACACATGGACAGCGTCACTCTCACGAAGTCGTTGCGCTTGCATCCTACTTGACCTTCGAATCATCCTGTACACTGGAGTACTTGTTGACCGCTTCTTCAACCGTCGAGGTGAGAGAGTCCAATTTTTCTGGCGAAATATACGGAATTAACGTGTACGCCAAGTTGTTTACCTGCGCAAACAATTAAATTTATAAGTCACATGCTATAAGCAATTATCTGGAAGAAATTCGCTCATAATGTAATCATTTATTGTCTTCAAAAGCGATTGTCATTTGCTCGTTTGTTTGCTTGTGTCGCGCGTATGAATTAAGATCATGTCTATGATATAAAATTATTGAAAAATTAAATATTAAAATGCGAAAAATATCAAAGTAATAAATGTTTGATCAATCAATCACGATAATACGAATGAGATGGCAAAGTATGTAGCATAAACAACGCTTGCATCCCCGTTCGTTAACGAAAGTAGATTTTGGGAGGAAGCGCAAGAGAACGATCGATCGCAAACTCAATGATTTAAGAAGCTGACTTGTCGATTCCGATGATTCATTTGCGAATAAACTATACTGTTCCGACAGTGTGATTACAGAAGCGACTAGAAAAGTACATCCTGGTAAGATTTACGTATCGGGAAGAACGATGACTTGCCTGTCTCACATTGGATGCCAATACCGATAAAATAGTACTGCAGATTGAAGTGTAGGAGCAGATCAAGATACCAACAACTCCGACTACGGACGAGGCTAGAAGGCTTGGCAGCAGATAAGGACCTGTGTAAGAGGTCAGGTTTCTATATGCAGGTACTATGCCGCTGAAGATATCCGACCACCAGCTGGAGCTTGCTCTCGGTATGGTTGCTATTGCCGTCGACGTAACGACTTCGGTAACGATATTTTTCTCGGTGGTGCTTACGCCGGTGTCTTCAGTCGTTGTCACCGAAGGAATTACTGAAGTAGTAGCTAAAGTACTTTGCGATAACGACCCCGAATAAACCGGGCCATGAATTGGCAATTGCTGTCCTTCCTTAAACTCTTGTATTAGATCCGTAGTATCCCTCGTATGCCTCGCTAATGTATAAGCAGTAATAATTGTGAACAAAACGAATCCAATGCGAAACATTTTTCCTTACTTTATAAGACAAGTTTCGTATTGCGAGATCTCTCGAGAACGTGTGACTCGTTTGGAAAAGAGACAACTAAATATAAATACAAATGATTAGTGGACAATTTATAAATTTGTGTTATATCTAATCGATGATTGAATTTTGATTATTATATACTTACATGTACAGCGAGTTGTTCTCCTTGATTATTGCTGACGGTTGTTCGTAAAACTTCGTGCACACGCTGTTTACACACAATGTGCCGTTTTTTCGGGCGAGAATTCCTGTTCCTGAAATTGGAGCTGAGTTTCGGATGAATTTCTTCGCTCAGCTAGACAGTACCAGACTGAAAGAAAATGTCATCCTCACCCTATATATAGCTTTACTAACTTATACTAGTATACGTAACTATACAAGGGTTGGATCGACCATTTTTATCTTCTACTTTCTATACCCTTTTGTCCTTTTCTCTATCTGCAAGAGATTATTTTAATACATTTTATCTCTAACAAATGGATACGAGAACTTTTCAAACAGGTATTGGTATCTATTCAATTTTCGGACGAACATGACTTTCTTTTTAGAAGAAAAAAAGTTTTTTATTCTATCTAGATGTAATGATATATAACTCGATAAATTGACAAAATTTTTATAATTTTCATATTATAACATTATATCTCGAGTAACTTATTAAAGTCTAACTCATTATCAATGAAGATATTACGATTATAACATTGATCGCAGTTAACAAATAAAGGTAATTATAATGTAACAATTGCATTATAGAGTAGGAAATTATGACATTGATATAATGTTAATTGATGTTTATTAGGAATTTACAAAGATCACCATTGTAAAGTATAAGTAATACTTCCATAAGTCCTTATTAAAAATAGAACTGTTCACGATTTTATTTTACAAAAATATTATTGTATAAAAAATATATACGAATGAATTCTCACACAATATATACATACTCTTTGTATGTGAAATTAAATTTCTTACTATAGTCATTATTGTAAAGCAGAGTTCAATTTAATTTTATTAATTCACAATAATACCAAATCAATCTTCTTGCACTTGTATACGTAGCTGTTCAATCTCGTCCTCACTGCTCACAGACTTGTTCAAGACGTTTATATTTTTCCTCTTGCTAATCTGCTTTGCACTAGTTTTATCCCAATGGAGACGCTTGCGCTTATTGCGTTCCAATTCCCTCTCGGCTATTTCCAATATCGAATCCTCATGGGCAAGCACACTCGTCTCAGCATCTTCCCTTACGCAGAACGAATCCTACGATCGAGAAGAATAGAAATTCTATTAGCGACAGATACAAGGTGGATATTTTAAAGGTATACATTCGACGTCATACGAACATAAAGATACGAGTCCTGTTGCGACAAGGCCTGTGAATAGATCTCTATATCCGGGTCCGGCGACTGCGGCTTCTTGAAATGGAACGCACCGGGTCTTTTGAATAAACTCTTAGTAGTTTGCAAATAATGCGCCTGCATGTCCACTTGATTCTCTACATTTTGGGTGTAACTCACGAAATCGTGCAGCTCCTCATCTGTCGTGGAAGTCAAACTGCTTTCATCCGAACTGTCATTCGAACTCACCTGTGCTTCATCGTCTATATATGCATTTTTCTTCCTCTTTTTCTTCCTTTTGTGCTGATTGCTGATTTTCCGTGCGGCGCTTCTCTCTAAGTGAGACATTTGCTTCGATGTACTAACACCAGATTCTAAAGTATTCTGTTCCTGCCTTTTAATGCATTTGCTAGGCGCTCTAAAGGCACTCAAGTCTATCATGCTCGAATGCAGATCCTTGTTCCTTTTCAAAGATAACATGGGATGTCTATTACTGACTGGCACTGGCATACCAAGCGGTGTTATCCTTTTTGACATGCCGCACAAGTTGCCACTTCCAGATGCGAACACCTTCGATGTATCGTCAAAATAATTATCGTTCTTCACCGAGCTTTTCGACATATTACGCAAATGATTACTTTGGTCTTTTGAAGTTTTCGACGTATGGCAAAAATAACTGCTTTCAAGCTCGTCGAATTTCTTTACGCTATCATGTGTAATCATGAAGTCTTCATCGGAGTCGTCCTGCAAGTCGAAATGCTGTTTCACGGCATATGACTTCGTGGTAGAATTAACATCAGATAATTTGTTTTTTAATTCCGAACATGTGTTCCTCTTTTCGACTTCAGTTCTGCGGTTGGTTGAAATCCACTCAGGACTACTATCCCTTTTACTTGCGGAAAGTATCGGTGATTTCTCTAAATCTTTTTTCATCCGCGCCATTTCTTCGATAGCTTGTGTTATGGACAAGAAGCTCTCTTCTGGTTTTGGATTATCTATTTGTTTACTATCGTTAGGTTTATTACATGCAAACTCAGTCATATCATCATCACTAAAATAAAAATCTTGTATTTCGTTCATACAGTTTTCTGCGGACTTGTTTGTTTGGACAGGTTTTGCTGGTTCTACTGATAAATTTTGATTAAATTCATCAGCGTTTGTTTCGTCCAGGAAGATATCAACAACGCTTTCACATGTTACATTCATATTCGCTGCATTTTTACTAAATATATTGGAAGAATTTGGAGGTACTATACTTTGTCGTGCAGTATCATTGACATCTAAATCATCATCAGTTGAGCTAAATGAATCATTTAATATATTTTCAAATATACTGGGTTCCATGTCATTGAGCATATTATCTGATAATTCTGTTCTTGTATGATCAGTCATGATATCATTATTATCTTTTGTACTAGATGCAAGAACTTTACTCTTATCAACTGAATCTATTTTAAATTCATTAATTGCTTGACTCACATGTGAAATTATGGTTATATTAGTGTCAGAACTATCATCCAGTATATCCTCGAATCTCACTTCGTTGGTATCGATATTGCTTTCATTTCGGATAGTGCACCAAAAATCGTTATCGATATTAACATGAACGTTATCATTCTGAGTATTTTCAATCTTACAGGTTTCACGTTTTGTCGCCAGAAAGTCAATTAAATTCGTAATTAAAAAAGGTACAGAATCGAGAACTTTTATGTCAGGTATTACAAAGTTAAATGGATCTATAACTGATTTTGCCACAGGAATGTAAGTTGTATCCATTTTACGCACAGAGGTCATTTCTTCCTCTGATTTTTTGACTGTGCATAATGTCAGGAAATCGATTCCTGCATTATCATCGGATAATAGTTTGACGTTTTTGGGATCTATCGTATTATGTATGTTACCACTCTGTGTTGTTAATGTAAGAACATTACATGTATTATCTTCATTTTGTTGGTTGCATTTACCATTGGTAAGAAATTTCATCATCGACGATTGCCCCGTATTTTTCGGTACTGATATAGAGGAACCTAAAGTATATATGTATTTTTAAGTAAATTTGCGAGTAAAACAAAGACGGAATATATATATATATATAATCGAATAAAAGTAAGTTAATCATAAGACTTACTTTCTTTTTGTTTTGTGCTAGATGCTTCATCTTTCTTGTTAATATTTTTCTTTCTCTTCCTACCTTTTACATTTGGTGTCTTTGGTAATACATTTATATACATCATGTGACATTCTGGAGTGAATTGATTTGGGATCATTCTAGGGTTATTTTGATACAGGGAAGAAAATATATTGCTTGTATTTAATATCTTATTATTCAAGGAGTTTCTCCTAGAGAGCGTGGATTTCAGATTCTGCAAAATATTTTAGTCAATACACACATACAAAAAAACATGTAAATTTTTCGGTTACCTCGTGTTCTTTTCCATCTGTAACAAGAATAATGATGTGACCATCGCGTTTACGTCCTGTTCTGCCCATTCTTTGAACTAGCCTTGTTGGAGAATGCTGTGATACATCAAAACAAATTATCAGATCTACTTCACCAACATCCAATCCTTCTTCACCTGCGTTATATATTTATAAATATTAAAATATTAGAATCTCTCTCATAAATCTAGTAAAAGTAATTAATATTCTATAAATTAATATATACTACCTATACTTGTCGAAACCAACACATTCACGCGATTGTTTCTGAAATCTTCTAATGCTTGAATTTGCTGCTTTTGCTTTTGACTAGCTTGACCAACAAACATTTGCGGTCTAATTAATGGTTTTGATTGCAAAAGCAAAACGTAGACTTCATTGACTATATCCCTATACTGAATTTATGGAAATATATAAATAAACTGTTTTTTTTCTAAGTATTAAACATATTATATGAAATATTAATATACAAACTTCTACAAAGACTATGGCTCTTGTATTCGCATTTTCGTCATTATTCTTCCTGAAATGATGTTCAAGTAATTCTTTCAATTTGTAAAATTTATTATGTCCAAACACAATATTCGTTGGCATCTAAAATAATTATTTTTTTATAAATAAATATTTATTTTTAGATATACTATTTTATTCTACAGTTTTACTATATCGTTAAGATATTCTTACAAACCTCAGATACGTATCCATTAGGAAGAATTTCTGGAAATGGTCCAAGATATATTTCTATGTCATGGAGTAATCTTTGCAATTGATCTTCATAAGGCATCCAGAATTTATCAGAATGATCTAAAAACAAATTACTTTCTTGTATAATTCATGCTTTTATATAATTTCAGATGATTAGTTTTTCGATTAGTAGATATAGATAATATAATAAATAATAATTGACAAGTTGTAGCAAACATACTCTTATAAAAGGTGCAGAAAGCTCGCAATCCATGTCTAATCATAAGTTCATATGCATGATACATGGTTAATAATATACTCAAGGTTTTGCTAATTTGTGCATAATTTCCTGATTTATCTGTCTTTTTTTTGAATTCTTGTAATAAGTGAAATATCTAGAAATAAATGTGCAAAAATTAAGATTATAAAATTTTTTTTGTTATAGATTTTTAAAAACTAAACTAACCTACCCTTCCTTTCGATATGTTTGCAGCCTGTCCTCGCAATATATTACATTGCATAAGAAACTTCACATGACGATCCATAATAATAATATATTTTTCTTTGAACTGAGCCAATTCATTACTGAGAGGTACCAAAATAGTATCAACTTTCCTATTGTTAATATATGGTATTATATCCAATGAGTTGTCATCTCTCAATTCCAAGCGGGAAATGCATAAATTTTGTATTACCTATGTGTGTGTGTATATATATAATTTATATAACAAAATATATCAGAATATTAAATTAAATTTTTAATCAATTTTTAATAAAAGTAAATAATAGAACATAGTTAATCAATATTAACCTACATAGTTACCTCATGAACATTATCTATTTTATTTCCAGGTGTAGCAGAAAGTGCCAATATCCTAAAATATTGATTTTGTGTGGATAATATTCTGACACACTAAAAGTTATAAGTTACAACTTGATCAATTTATATAAAAATAAAAACAGTATATATTTGGTCCAAATAACTTCTATATTTCTTTACCTCACAATATGAATGTTTGCCTAAGGCTTTATGAGCCTCATCCACAACAACGCATTTGATTAAATGGCTAGGTACAATTGATCTTTCAAGATCATTATGAAATACTTGAGGAGTGGCAAATATTATTTTTTTTTTAAACCAAGCAATTTCACGATTTTTCTGATTGACTGTACCTATAGATTAAACAATATCTATTATTGTACTATGACAAATATACAGACAAGATATATAAATATACAATATACTACTAATAATATTAATATCGTTAATATTCTGTTAATAATAAATATAAGAACCTGTAAGCTCTATCATTTCTACACTTGGTATTCCCATTACTTCATAGCATGCATCAATCTGTTGAGCAACCAAAGGTTTTGTTGGTGCAAGGAACACAATTTTTCCAAGTGGAAACCACCTCCAAAAATTGTACATTACGACAGCAGCAATAAAAGTCTTTCCTAAACCTGAAACAAGTTTAAAAAGGCCAAATTTTGTATATTTAATCCTGTACTATTGATAACAACATGATGATGAATATTTCTTTTCTTACCAGTAGGCAAACAAACCAAGGTATTGTAATATAAAGCTGTCTTAACTATGTTATATTGATACTCGCGAACTGGGTAATTTTCCGGGTAAATCCAAGTATTTCCAGTTGACAGAGAAAATCCTTTGGTTTCTGGATCGTCTGAACTGTATTGCGTTGACAATTCCATTCTGGCAAAACTTTATTCAATTTTTGCGCCTCAACAACGAACTTGACAAATCGATAACATAATAACTGCACGAACTGCACTGAACATAATCACCACTATAATTTAATTAAATAAATATTAATCTATCACATACAATCACATAAAGTAGTTCAATCAGTAACATATGAGATCTCGAAATTTATAAAGTTCGTAGATCACACGTAGTCTGCCGTTTAAAGGCCATGTTACAGTTGTGTAAAGGCCAAGTCACACTAGCGATTGGTGATTGACGATTGACAATTAAAGATTAGATTTTAACGAATCAACAAGCTTCAGCCTTGGCTTGTTTTGTTCCAATTGATCAAGTTCCAATCTTCAATCGTCAATCATTTATCGCCAATCGTTAATGTGATTTGGCCTTTACAAGATATACCAATCAGATTCACGAAATCTGTAGCAACTTCTCTGCTGAAAACAATCAATAAAGTACGGAAAGAGAAGTTCAACAATTTAGAACTAGAGGCAATTTAGCGCTAGCTGTTCATGACAAGTCCTTTGGATTGGCTATTCGATCTTGCTACTAAAAAATAAAGATTTGGCTGATTCATCGTTGAGTTGCACTACTCGAAAAATCTGCCTCGTGTTCGTCATCCATCGTCATCCTTGATGTGACAAGTCCCGTAATTCAGTTTCGCATGCCGGCTGTGACAAATTGCATGTTGCGTTGAAGGCCGTATTAACTAAAGAACAAGATGGCAAAATTGTTATCGAACCAAGTTTTAGAGTACTTAGACAAACATAATGAAGCAAATTCGTTAGATTTGAGTACTGAGCTGGGAGAGCATCACGATTTGGTTATAGGAGCCATCAAAAGCCTTCAAACGTTCGATGATGTAAGTTTGCTTAAGTTAATTATTCGTAAATTATTATGCGCTACTAAATATCTTATTTTCATTTATTTATACATATTGGCTTACATGTAAAATCGATGCTAAGTGATCGTGCTTTCATTGAATATTTCCTCGATTCATGAAATTATTACAAATATGTTAATTATTTGCTCGATTGTAATTTATTTTTGGTAGTTAATTACAGTGAAACCAACTGTTAAAAAGATATGGGAAGTTGTACCAGAGGGAATACATATATTAGAAAATGGCAGTCATGAAGCAGTTGTTTACAACAATGTTCCTGACAAGGGTATACCTCAGCAGGAACTCATAAAATCAAGTCCTTATGCTAAATTAGGTTTTTCCAAGGCAATGGCTGCTGGGTGGATTAAACTGGATAATAGTAGTGGTACTCCTATTGTAAAAAAGAAAGTATCATCAATTGTAGATACTGTACGTGAACATCTAAAGGATGTTAACAATATCCCAGAAAAAGTTAAGACAGAATATAAAAAAAGAAATCTTTTACGAGAAGTGTAAGTATAAGATTTGAAGACATGTAAATAAACTCAAGTTCCTGTTTTACCTTCATTTTCATTTTTTTGTAATAGGGTAATTAATATGTTGCATGTGGAGAAAGGATCAAATTTCTCCACAAAAACAGAAAAATTAGAAGCTGATTTGACATCAGATTTATTGACACATAGTGCTTGGAAAATCAAGAAATTTAAACCATACAACTTTGATGCTTTAGGTGCAACTCTTCAAATTGGTCACTTACATCCACTGTTAAAAGTTAGGCACGAATTCAGAAAGATCTTCTTGGAAATGGGGTATGTAGTGGGATAAGCCAAAGTTCTTGCAATTATTGGAAGCAAGGAAGTAAATTACAAGAGTGAAAATCATTATTTTTATCTTAGATTTACAGAGATGCCTGCAAATAATTATGTGGACAGTTCCTTCTGGAATTTTGATGCTCTCTTTCAGCCACAGCAGCATCCTGCTCGCGATGCACATGATACCTTTTTTGTTTCTGGTACTTAAAAATGCCAATGAAATGACAATTAAAAGAATACAATCAAGAAACTACTGATTTCTGTATTTTAGAGCCATGTATCAGTACAAAGTTCCCTATGGAATATCTCGAAAAGGTGAAGACCGTTCATAGCAAAGGAGCATATGGATCTCAGGGGTATAGATACGATTGGAAGCTTGAAGAAGCACAGAAGAACTTGTTGCGTACTCACACGACATCTGTTAGTGCACGGATGTTGTATAAACTCATGCAGGAGGTACAGTCAAAACAGAGACAGATTGCTTCTTTAAGGATGATAAATTGTAATAGGAAATGCTTCACAGGGGGAGTTTAAGCCGGTGAAATACTTCAGTATTGATAGAGTATTTCGAAATGAAACGTTAGATGCGACGCATCTTGCGGAGTTTCATCAAATCGAAGGTGTTATTGCCGATTATGGGCTAACATTGGGCGATCTTATTGGGACAATTTACGAGTTTTTCAAGAAGCTTGGAATCACGCAACTTCGTTTTAAACCCGCGTATAATCCTTACACTGAACCGAGTATGGAAATATTCTGCTATCATAATGGCTTGGAAAAATGGATAGAAATTGGCAACAGTGGCATGTTTAGACCCGAAATGGTACTGCCAATGAATCTACCCCCTGATGTCAATGTTATTGCATGGGGTTTGTCATTAGAAAGGTATGTAAATAAGAAAATATATGCATGTTGCCTGATACTGCAATTTGATATCAAGATATATCAAGATATATTTTTGGACTTCATTTTTTGGATTTCAGACCAACGATGATTAAATATGGTTTAAATAATATACGTGATCTTGTTGGGCCAAGAGTGGACATGGAAATGATCCACAACAATCCTATATGTCGATTAGAGAAGTAAATATCATTCTAAGTTATTGAGGTATTTATATTAAATCTCATCTTTCTGGAAGTAACTAGTTAAAATATTTAAATAAAATATTTTAAACGTTTCAAAATTCAAAGTCTGAAGGTAATTACATTTAAATGACCGCTTAAAAAATTGTTATTCATTGTAATTTAAAGTAATTGTAATATCTATCGTTAAACTTGTCCTTTTTTTCATGGCAGGACTAGTCGAATGTTTCTACAACGAAAACCACAAGAGCAAAAATCTATTCAAAATCAATTGAACCAAGAAGAGAAAATCAAGCAAACTTCGATATATTCCTCGGAAAAACAAGCACTTTCCAAACAAAGGCTTATTATTTTTTGCGACCCGGAATATCCGATTTATTTCCTTGAGTCTTTTTTACGACTCATACAACCGTATTTCAGAATCTCTGTGTCAACTTATATTCATTCTACAGTAAGAAATTTGCCTGAGAAGCTCGTAGGATTTTGTTCGGATTTTTCCAATACGTGTACGAACACAAATATACATATAGTTTTAATTTGGAAAACTGTCGGAATCGATCCAGTCATGGAATTACCAGGAATGCGTAAAATTGCAGGGATAGTGAACATCGCGCGATACTTGAATCGTTTGATTGAACTCACCGATGTTAAAGTATTAACGTACGAACGAGATGGCGTGTCTTACGCGAATAACATAGATTTTCATCTGGATAGAATACACTGTGCATTGCATGGTATAGATAACAATATATTGTGTCCAGTCCCCAAAACACCTTATGTATTGGGCCCGTGTATTTCCATAGTCGACATCATTCTCGAATCTATCGAGAAGTATAACATAAAAAAATAATTTTACTCATTTCTTACGTGTATTGAATATTTTGTGCATAGCTGGCGAGAATTTTATTTAAATGTCAAATTGATAAATAAAAATCTGTTTAAAAACTTAATATCGAAATCCATCGTTGTGAAACTTCTCTACTTGATCCTCGATACGCGCTATCGTGGCTAATCTCTTCTCGGAATTGTTTTTAATCTAGAAATAAAGCGATTCCATAAGACTAAGAGAGACGAATATATATCTTTTCACTCTACTTATTGCAGTGTACCTAGTTCAGACAATTTTTCAAGAAAGAATGGGCCTTGTGTGTCGTTATTTTTCGTTGTATGTGAAGCGATTATTTATACAACGCGCGCTCATCGCTTCCGTCAAGAAGCCGTACGTTCATTGGTTGTGCGTCATCGTGTCGCGACGGACATGTCGCCGCGTTCCAATCATAAAGCATCATACGCGAGTTCAAGCCCGCATCAGCGGCAGAAGTGACCCGCGATTTGTTGATGCGCTTACGGCCAATTCGCAACGCAACACGGCGTGTTCGCACGCGAGTGATAATCGTTCGGAAGCATCGCGGAAGCGCGCATCGTCGCGGTCGCATTCGAAGAGAGTGACACGCAAAGACCAAGGTTCGGTATTGTATCATAGCGACACGATAGCGTGAGAAGCGCGCTTTCGTCGCGCTCGAATCTCGTTTTCCGTAGGCGACCGCCAATTGTCGCGCGTACCGACAGTCACAGCAATACGCGAGTATTGCTACGGGACTCGTGTGCCGACGGTGAGGAAGTGAGGTGAGGTGAACAACACTATCGGCGAAGAGGTTGTGTGCGCGAGTTTAACGGCGCGATACGCGCGAGCGAGTGTGCGTGCGTGCTTGTGTCCGCGCGACAGGCAGACAGTGCGATACACTGACGTATACGTCGTTCGGACGAGTGCGAATCGCGTGCGTGCATTCGGCGACGGTACAGCGGCAGTCGCGATCACACCGAGTGGCCGTGACGCGCTGAGGAAGTCGCGAGGGGTAAAGAGAGAGAGAGAGATAGAGATAGAGAACGAAAGATCATTCGCGAAACGTCGGCACGCGGCGTGTGCGGGGACCCGTCTGTCCGCCAAGGTTAAAGAAGAGAGGAGACGATCCGTCGTGTGGAATGCCCCGCTAAAATGGCGGTGATCGGCACCGTCGCGCGGTGCTAGAGAGGAAAAAAGAGGCGACCGCCTGCCTTCCCAGACCGCGCTCGTTCGCTGTTTTGTTTTGACTCGGCCGTGACCGCTAGCCTCGCGGAGAGATCTGAGCCGCGGCTATCGGCCCTTTTCGTTCGACGCGCAACCCCGATCTCGCGCCGGCCCCCTCTTCCCCTACGCCTTGCCTGCGCTGGCAGTAGGCCCCCACTCTGGTGGCCGTTCCTCGTCTCCTCCTTCTCTGTTTCGTTCCTCCTGCCGTCTTTGTCGGGTCGTAGATTGAAGTCGCGCGACGTATCAACGTGCGACCGCGCGAGTCGTTAATGACAAAAAGCTGGCTGACGAGACGAGCTACTACGACGGCAGACGCGATAGCAGCGTTAGAGGCGGAAGCAAAGGTAGCAAACAGCAGCAGCAGCAGTAACATCGGTAGCGGGACGGACAAGTGCTATCGGGCTCGCGGGTTCGACGCGACCGCGATGCCCGTGCCGCATCGCCACGCTCCTGACGTGAAGAAGCGCATCGGCAACGCAAACTCGCGAACGTACGACGAGGCGAGCGCAAGCAGCACTGTGTTATTACGAAGCAAAGTCGAGAACGTGAAGGGACGGCGGCTCGTCGCCAGGTGAGATACGTCGCTCGTTCTCCTTTTTTCTCCTTTTCTCTCTCTCTCTTTCTCTTCCTCTCCTTTCCGTTCTCTCTCTCTCCCTCTCTCGTTCTCTCTCTTTCGCTGTGTACGCGAGCGCGCGCGAGGCGACGTTTTTTTCTGTCTCTCTCTCGGCTCGCGCGAGAGAAACCCTCTTCCGTTTAACTTGTTCGAAACGGCGCACGCCTCTTCTCACCTTCAATGCTTATTTACGAGGGCACGGGCGAGATGTAGCAGTGCGACCGACCGCCGCCGAGGCTCTGTTGTTACTTTACCGTTTGCCTCGCATAGGTTAGGCGCATTCTCGCTGATGACTGTGCAGATTAAGCACGATTTCGATCTGCTGAATGTACACGTCGCCTCGTATATAGCATCGCGCGTGTTTCCCGCGGAGTAAGCGTCACGAGAGAGACACAGAAGCGTTGAGTCGAAGGGTAATTCTAATAGAAAAGGCGAGAGTGGGAGAGAGGGAGTCAGAGAAAGTCATGAGCCTAGTTTATTGTTGAAGTAACGGTGTTATGCTTGAGAAAGATCTTTTTTATGTTACTAGCGATTTCGTAATGTTAGATTACATGTCTGTATTTTAGGGACAAAACTGTAAAAGTGATAAATGGTGTGAAAATTGTGGTGCATATAATGGTTGTTCGTTGTCAGAGAGAAGAGAGCTTTATGTTTGTTACAATTTAATTCATTTATTGTGCTAATCATGTCCTGGTTTGTTTTTATTTGTCGATTCTGCCACTCTATATTTAGCATATGAATTTGTAAACAAGAGAGTCACAAAAGTTTAAGGTCATAGAACTGGACTTGTACAACTTATCTGTTTTGTAATGTTCTATGTGGTCACTGCATAGTGTTAGATTCTATAGTCAGCTATAATTTGAGGTTATTTTGTGTTATTTTATTGCCTCAATTTATTAAATGTTTAAATACATAGTTTCAGAATATGCATGAATATATGTCAAAATCTTCCTATAGTTTGTTCAGTTATTAATTTACAAACAAAGAAGTTTGCTTTCAAGAACTAATATTCTATGAGATATTTTATTTCAAGGATTAAGTAAATGTGTGCAACAGCATTTGTATTCAGGAAAATTTTACAATATTTCAATAAATGAATTAGAATATATTCTAATGGAATAATTCATTATGTATGTATAGACATACTGTTTTTATTATATTTTATATATGATATTAAGTTATATGACCATATAATATCTATGGAATACAATGTAAACGTATAATTAGTCATGTTGCAGTAGTGCATGTTAATTATAATTTTATTATATTATTATGTATTCGTGATTGTATTTGTTTTTTAGATATTAAATTTGGGAAGGATACATTAATACATCAAGATGAAAATCGACCGCAGCAGACTGAAAAAATGCACTTCTGAAGTGGTTAGTGCTTTGTATAGTTTCTGTTTCAGTATCATTAATTCATATAAAAGCTACTTTCTTGGAGCAGAATCTATATTTTGTTTAGATTAATACATTTAATATACAATGATACACATTTTGATGAGAGTTTAATAATGTAATAAATCTTCAGCCCGCAGAATGTCAAACACTCATAAACAAGCTACGCTCCTGCTCTCATGCAGAGCTACTAGAGGAGCTCAAGCAAATAGATGCGTGGACTTTTGGCAAATGTGAATTGTTTCATTGGATTGATGTCTTGGATCTCAGTGATAGTATTTTAGAAGAGGCTGCGGCAAGGAGCCCAGATAATCCATGGGAATTAGCATGTGATCTTCCTCAAAATAGAGAGGTTTGTTTAATAAATGATTTATTAATATGCATGTGAGAACTCTGATGAAAAAATATATACTATAAATGTTATTCTACATAATAGTCTGAAACTATTTACACAAATTTATATGTATGTACAAGTATATATAAATATATTTTAACGTGTATATATATAATTATTAATTTGGTACAGGCAAAAGAGCTGCTTCTCTGGGTTCTTCACTTCACAACATTGTTGATTGAGCACTCATTCTCACGGCATTTGTACAACAGCATGGAACACTTGGTTACTTTGTTATCAAGTTGTGACATGCATGTAGTTCTCGGTGTATTAAATCTCCTGTATATGTTTAGTAAGCGCAGTAATTTTATTACACGTCTAAATAGTGACAAACGGCAAGCTTTGCTCAGCAGGCTTAATCATCTAGCAGAGGTTAGTGATTTGAACTTGTACTTTAAAGATACAATTTATACAGGTATAAATAATTATACATAATAAACTGGCTATTATAGAGTTGGGGAGGCAAGGAAAATGGTTTTGGCTTGGCAGAATGCTGCAAGGAATATCCAGAAAAGGTAAGTGTGCACAATTAATACATAATTGTATACATAAATGAATATTAAATGCGCTACAATTTAATATCATCTTGGATTTTTCAGCCATTTCCAACAAGTGCAACAACACTACATTTTGAATTCTACGCGGAAAACCCGACCGTATCGGAACCGTCAACAACCGGTACATCGCTTCCTAGTACAAAAAAAGTTGGTCAAGCGAATTTTGTAACATATATACATATAGAAGCTGTTGACAAACTTGGAAAAACCCCGGCGCAGATTATGAACGATCTGTTGAAAGTCTACAATGTACCCCAGGAACGACAGGTAAATATGCCCAAATATTCTTTCTTCTACAGAATTTTAAAGAAACTTAAAAAAATTTAAATTTAAATTTAATTTTATATGGTTTATTAATATTAAACATAATAAATACAAGCACTGGGACAACATTCTTTAATCTCAAAACATATTTTTAGATGGCTCTATTGACGCATATAAGGTTAGGACATAGTTTTTCGGATTACCGGAGAAGGTTGCAATGTGTACAAGCACGACTACAAGCACTGTCCGTACTTGTATACAGCAATGCGCTACAGGAAAACGCGCATAGTCTCCTTCATGCTGGACTTCTTGAAGAACTGGTTGAATTGTTGGAACTCCCACATGCTCATCTCGTCGAAATTCGTGCAGCAGCCTTGCGTACACTTACAAGCATCATACATCTGGATCGCAATCCACATTTTCCTAAGTGAATATAAATCTTTCCTTATCTATGCAAATTCATTACGCACGTGGCGTGATGCTAATCTTCGCTGGTGCACTTTCAGGAAACCAGGCTCGCGCTTGAATATGATTATCGATGTCACTGGAGCCAGTTCGTATCATGGATTTCTTCCAGTGTTGGTTCGCACTTGTATAACGACATTGACTTCACCTCAATCAGATGGACAGCCATTTCCATTACCTCTTGCGACA